GCCAGAACAAGGGAACTCCATTTGAAATCCAGATGCCAGAGTGAAAAAGAAGGAAATTTGGGGTTGGTTAATGTGTTACCACCACCTCACACACAAGTACACTTTGCCATTTAATGAGGAACTTGGGGGATGGCTTTTTTGAGTGTCTGATAACACCAATGGAGTTTGCACATGGTCTGCTCCACAGTTTGTTCAGGAAGCACTGTGGGTTGTGGTGAGAGAATCAGGAAGCAGTGCTGGGTAGAAAACAAAGGGTGATGTTTGGTGATGAGATCCTCTTCAGAGCAGGCTGTGGGTGGGTGTGTTGGGCACAGTGGGTTTGAGCCTTACCTGTTCAGCTGTGTCACCTCTTCCGGTCCAATCTCAGTCTCGATGGGGGATCGGATCCCAGCTCCAAACATGGCATGTGAGACTAGAGTCCCAGCTGAGGACACTTTTTAGGAAGAGTACTGATATTTAAATGGAGAATGTATTTCTCTCCACCAGAGGTAAGTAACTGGTCAGCGATGTTGTCTGGCCAGAGCAGTCTGGTTTGGCACTAAAGAAAACATTTCTGTTTCGGTTGCTGTGAACTGTTTGTGCGCAGTGGTCAGATGTGAAATCACGTCTGGAAGAGCTGGTAAGTGATGTGAGAATTTAAACCACTTGGTGCTTATCTACTGTTCAGAGTATTGCTACCCAGATGATGAATAGTAACCAGTTCCTGTGTGTGTTTTCAGCAGGGGAGGGCAGGGGCATTGTTGCACTTCACAGCTGCTGCACTCCTGGGTCCTGTGCCACTGTCACCCCATTTCCCTCAGGAGAAGAGGTGAGGAGTTCTAGTGGGGTGACTTCAATGAAGATGTAAAGCTGATTGTATTAAGCAACATCGTGGCTAAAAAACAGATCAGATGTTGCAGCAAGGGGCACTTTGAATAGATGTCAGCACTTCTTTCACGGTGGAGACAGTAAGGTTTTGTTCAGGGAGGTAAAGAGGTTCTTGGGGGAATCCCCACCCTTGAGCACGTTCAGCTGGGTGAGGTCATGAGAAACCTGTTGCATCTTCACAGCTGATCATGCTTAGAGGGTGTGTGCATGTGTTGTGGGGGGAACTGTCCTCTCCCCAACTTACTGCAAAGCTGATGATAAGCTCAGAAAATTGATTATTTCAGTGCCAACAGATTTTCTTCCTGGCCAATCAAAACAAACACGCCATGGATAAGGAAAGGAGGGTGCAGACAGTGAGGGTAAACACAAACGTGACAATTGCTCTCTGTTACTGAGGGGTGCTGGCTGTAACTGATGTACCTGTGTGTGTGTCTGTGTGTCAGGGCCTCTGTTGCCATCTCTCTCTCCACCTTGCCCGTGTCTGTCTCTGTGTGTCAGTCCCCTCGGTGCGTGTTGGGGTCTGTGTTGCAAAGGTCATTATGCCAACAGTGATGTAGCTGCCTGACCTCAGTTGCTTCTTGGAGTGATTTTTTCTGTTTGGGTTTGTTTTTTCCCTGCCCCTCCCCCAGTGTTGGCACATGTCCTCTCCAGTGCAGAGTGTCCCCTTGCCCGCTCTGGTCCAGTCCCCGTGCGGGTGGTTGCTCTGAGGGTGATGGGTTGTGGTCACTGCTGGAGCTGCAAGAGCAGAATCTCTGCAGTGACTTTGGAGAAAAACAAGTTCACACAGACATGCTGGAGACAAACACAGGCTGAGAGTCACTTTTACAAGTTTCTTTATGAAATTAAATGTTGCCCCTGGTCTGGGGGGAAGATATAGTGCAAGAAGGACTTTGTACATGCTACTGAATTCAGATATCCCTGGATGACCAGACTTTGGTCAGCTACAGCATCAATAAACACTGGATTTCTGAGCTCTGCAGACACTTAGTGCTCACTCACACTAGTGCTGAGTTGGAATGAGGAGGAGTTTTCCTTCCACTGTCACGGGATGTCTCCTAAGCTAGGGAATTCAGTCAGTATGGCTTCTAACTCTCACTATGGTAAGGCAAATCTTTCCTTTTGCTAACCAAGGTTTAAATTAATTCTTTTTGGCCACGGTTTTAAACTTGGGTACTTAAAGGAGGCTCCTTATGCCAAATTTAGGCCTTTTGAAAAAGCGGGTTTCCATTTTTTTAAAGGTGTCAGTAACACGCCTTGAATGTGAAGGTCTGTGGGAGTTTGCATAACAATCGCGTTTCAGAGTTGAACAGCAGACTCTGACTTCTGGGAGCCGGGTTTGCAAATATTGACCTTTTTTTTAAAAAAAAAAAAAAAAAAAGAAAAATTAGACAAAACAGGCATCAAGTTAACAACATCTGACAAGAACAATTACAGACTTACAAAATACACAGTTCTGATTTTTACCATAAATAAACACATTACAAACAATGAGCATTTTCATTGGCCAGGAAATATGGCAGAACGATGGAGAGACGAGAATCTAAGGAATTGAGTACGGTATTAATTAGGCACATTTTTCTCTAACTTATGTAACTCAAACCCACTAGAGAGATTCTTGAACTTGACTCATGCTGCAGGTTGGCACAGTTTAATGTACGATACCGTTCACCAGTGGTGTTGGGACTAGAGGAGAGGAGAGGTCACAGTGCTGTACTCACTGTGTCTGTCTGAGGGCCTGCAGAGGCTGAGTTAGTTGGGCCTGTGTAGGAGGGTCATGTCTCTGAGAAACGTGGGGCAGGGGCAGAGCAGAAGGGCTGTTTGTCCCTGCACGGCCAGTGTGTCATGTCAGTGACTCTGAACTGTTGTTCTGAGCACGGCAGTGGGTCTGTCAGCTGCCACCCCCTCTGACAGCTGCCAGACAGCAGTGGTGGGCACAGTGGGAAGGAGTGAGTCCAAGTACAGCTGACAAGCAAAATCTCTTCAGCTGAAGCACGTCAGGCTCCCTCCTGTGAGCTCCTCCTGGAGCTCCGCCTCGTGGGCGCTGTGCGAGGCTGGCTCCGCGGCACTGGCACAAATGCACACGCAGTGTCTCACCCCGGAGCCAGGGCGGTCAGTCGGGCTGCAAAATAAATAGGGAAGGCAGGAGCACATGTGCCATCCTCTGTAAACAAAGGATTGGAAGAACCTGGGCTCCACCTCCCAGGACTGACGGATAAAGTGCTTTCTCAGAAGGGGTTCAGGCACAAACGCGGGGCTGCCCCTATTTCCGGAAGGGCGTCAGCCTGCTGATGTTCTGCCAGAAGTTCGAGGGCTTGCGCTTGGGCTCTGCCAGCATGAAGACCTGCTGCTGAGGGAGCGTGGTGGGCAGGGTGGGATGCTTCTGCCGCATCAGGAAGTCGTAGTAGGGCCTGGTGACAGCTGGGATGACAAGGAGAGGGGAAGCCAGTGAGTTGAGCACAGCTCCCTTCCCTCCTTCCCCCTTCAGTCCCCGTTAAAGCTGCAGGGCCATGAATCGGGTTTGTCTAAGTCTGACCCTTCCCTTAGTTTATCCCTACTTTCAGCACTGCTTGTTAGGATTAGAGCTGATGCTGTGGAAGTTTCAGAAATGTGCCACATAACTGCCAGGTGTTGTGTCAACACAACAGCAGGGCTGAAGAGCTGCAGCTCATCACCAACTTAACTGGTGCCTTTGCCTGTGCTGGGAGAAACAACTGCTGTGCAAAGTGCTGCTGTCACCTGTTCCAGCATCCTGGGCTGCATTTTTAAGCAGGGATGGTCAGTGCCTGCCCAGTGGACAGGGCTAGCTTGTGGGGCCACCTCTAATGCTTTTTCCCAAGGGCTTTGCTCTGTTAGAGAGGTCTTGGCCTCCTTCCAAACTTCCCTGTGTTTGCAGCCAAATCTTATTTCTGACCTGTTTTGACATTTAGTCGAGCTTTCTTACTAGAGACGTGGCTGGGATTTAAGTGCTGGCTGGTACCACCAAGAGGAAGTGGTTTCCTCCGTGGGTCGAGAGGAAAGCAACTGAACAGAGAGAAGAGGAAGGTGGCATCACAGGGCTCTTTTCAGCCAACAGTGCTGTGGGCACAGGAACCTTCCTGTTTGTTGCTTGAGTTCACACTCCCCTGGCAGCTGCTAAATTGTCCTTGTGTCTGACAGGTTGAATGATCAGCTCTGTTCGAGCATGGTACCTACCCCTGGCACTCTGCCCAAACTGCAGCTTCAGAGCATCTTCCCCAGGCAGGAACAGTCCCTGCTGCAGTCACCTCTGTGACTCCCTGTGTGTCATGGGGATCGCTCCAAAGCTTGCCTTTGGCCACCCTGCTGGGAGAGCCTGTGTCCCCAGGCCAGGCTGTGCACTGATCAGGGCTGATGCTTTCTGGCACAGCGCTCAGCGATTATGTGCAAAGCAGCTCTCCTGGAGTTAGGAACAGTTTCCTGATTCCAGCCATCTGAATCTACCAGGAACTGTAGTGCAGATTGTCACATCAGAGCTCACCATCTGGCCTTCTCCAGAGCTTGTTAATGCCACTTCATTGGAACTCTTCCCATGTAGTAAATACTGAGCCACCCCCCAGCGTCACAGCGTTCCTGTGCTCAGATGTGACTCACCCTTGGGTTTCCCAGCGTGGTGCTGCTTGCTGGCATTCAGCATGGCCTGCTTCTTCTGCACCTCGGTGATTGAAAAACCTGGAAGATAAAACAGTTTGTCAGCAGCAGGTCCTCGTTTGGTGTCTCAGAGGAAACACGGGGGGAGGCAAATGCCTGAGGAGAGAGGGCACAGTTACTGCCAAGCCTGGCAGGGGCACTGCCCTCTGCCCCCCGCCTGCACTGCACAGCTTTCCCCACCTCTCATGCCAGGTTTGCTGCCTGCTCTTTGCCCCACACTTTGCTGGATGAAGAAGCCAGCCCAGACCAGTTTGGCTGAAATCTTACGAGATCACTCTGGTCTGAATTAAGCAGGATTTGGACAAAACAATGCAAATCCTTCTGCACAGTGAGAGCCCTTGGCTGAACCTGTTCTCTACAGACACCTCCAAGCTGGGCACTCACACTGTACTGCAGAACTCTGGAAGCTGTATGTAATGTATTGACTCTTCTCAGCCCTGCCTGAACTCATTAAAGACACATCAGCCTCCCTGGGGATGCGCTGCAGTGTGGGCTCATGGTGGTTTTTTAATTGCACAGATTCATCCAGAATGTGCAATTCAGCAGCCCAGAGCTGGACTGCAGCATGGGCTGGCTTCCCTGCCTCTTCTCTCCCAGGCATTGGCTGGTGGGTAAAAAAAGAGGAAAACCAAACCCCCCCACTGTCTCCCAGCATTGCTCTGTCCATACCTGTCTCCTGGTCGAGCTGCACCTGCCTCCTTTCGTTCTCAAACGCCTTCAGCCAGCGCTGCTTCTGCTCAGGCTTCTTTGCACAGAACAAGTGGACTTCCTCAGTGTCTCGGCAGTGCAGCTTAAATGCATTTTTTACACTGATATTGAAGTCCTTGTCCTTGCCATCTTCTACATCCAGTATTTCCATGTCATCCATGTTGATCCGACTCTTATAATACAGGATGTCCCGGCGCAGAAGGTCCTGTGAGAGAGACCACAACAGGTGAGCTGTTTCCTGTCCTAAACATTCATTTTCTCTGAGGTGATGTATTTAATCTTCCTGGTAGTCCTGTAAAAAATCCCGAGTACTGGATTTGAGCGTGTGGAATTGCTGAGCTGCTGTGGGCACTGTTGGCAGTGAGGGCCCCTGGGGGCAGGACAGGTGGCATCTGCTGTTGGGGGGTATCAGCCGCCTTGAAGATCTGAATGAGAAGCAAGCTTGGGTATTTCATATTATCCCAAATCCCTCATTTTTGTCCTCTGACACTATTTGAATCCTCCAGTCCCAGTTAGAAAGCAAAAAAACCCCCAAAAATCCTAATTAGTTCTTGTTTTTTGACTACGAAAAGTAATTTTAAGAACAGCAATTTTCAAGCCCAGAGCTACCTGCAAAATGTGGAATGTGCAAAAAATAATTGGCACATTCTGTTTTGAAATTCCAGAGGAAGATACCTTTCACTGGCTCCAAGAGGGAAGATTTCATTACTTAGGTTATGAAAAATAGCATGTGCTGTACTTACAGACTTACATGTGATTTAATATGGTCTTACTGACTGCCAAGGCCCACAGCTCTTCATCGAAGCTGCAGGTGCTCTCTGACTCTGCTACTCGTCAGGTAACAGCACAGTTGAAAAAATAAGGTATTTAAAAGAAAATAAGTGAGAATACTTGAGTTGTATAAAATATCTCCCACACCAACCCTAGAAGCAGTGCAGTGCTTTCCTCTTTCAGTATGAGAATTAGGCTGGTAGCTCTTTGCTGTGCTGAGGGCACAGAACACCCCAGGACATCAGAGAAAAGACTGGAGTCAATGCACAGGGAGGTCTCAGTGCCAGGAGCACAAGGTGTCAGTAAATGTTAAGGACACAAAGGAGTGGAGAGGGAGCTCACTTAAATTCCTCAGCACTGTGGTAGTCAGCACTGGTGCCTGGCTGGGGTTACCTTCTTGCAGCAGACAAGCTGGTGATCGAAGAGGAAGAACATCCTCTGTTGGCTCTTGGCTTGAGGGTGGGAGATTTTGGCTAATTCCCCGGAATAGATGAGTTCTGAGCTCCTGACCAGGACATCTTCACCCTGGGAACAGCACAAAGAACAGGTTGGTCTCAGCCATCCAAAAACGGGGAGCAAGAACTAAGCCCGTAGTCTCGTAGGAGAGCCTCAGCCTTGTGTGAGGGGCCTGAATTCCTGCTGACAAAAGTCTTCTGGGAATGAGAGGCAGCCTCTGTGCTGAAGGACAGTCCCTGTCACAGCAGAGAGACACTGTGCCCTTGGCACCCAGGGAATGAGAACGGAATTTGAGGAGAAGAATAGCATGTTAAATGAAAAAAATCTCCTTTTCCAGGGCGTCTGCTTAGGGAAGCTGCCTCATTCCACACAGAAAGGAGGCACATAAGCAGAGAGCTGAGAATTTAGCCTGACATCCTTGGGCAGGGGGCAGTGGGGTTTTAGTGAATCTAGGATTTAGAAAATTAGTATTTTGTTTCTTTGGTTTAGCAATTTTGAAAATGAGTCTACAGGAAACCTTGGCTTCCTCTGTCACTGTATCACAGCTTACGTTTCTGTAACAATTTGCTGGCTTGTTAAGCATTTAGCAACAATTCTCATCTTGAGAGTTTGAAACTACACAAGATAAAATGGGGGGCAAGATAAAAATAATAGAATTTCACTGACCTACATGCTAATTTCATTCTGCAAGGAAAAAGCAAAAATCCCAGGGAACATGCCAAGGCAGCTGGTCTAGCTGGGTTATGTGCTAGACCTGTTCAGTTTTACTAAAAGATCACATCTGTTTAAATGAAAAATAAAAAAACCATGAGGAAGGTCAGGTCAGAGAACTGAGGCAGGGCTGGATAGGGAGATCTCACTGTAAGCAGAAGCTGCTGGAAGGGCAGAAGAGGATCAGCATGGAACAGCTGATTCCTGGGAAAGGGAAGTCTCTCACCTCCCAGTCCTCTATGGAACTCTGCCACTGAGCAATTTTGTCGATGTTCTCCAGCCGCCGCTTCCTCTCGTTGATGAGCTGGGCGACGTTTTTCATGGCGTTCAAGGCAGCCTCGACATCTTTGAAATCCCTGGGGATGGGCAGAGGTGTCAGACATGGCAAAATGGCACATGTGCCTTGTACCTGCACTGCAAAGGAGGGCAGCCCTTCACAGCCTGGAGCTGGGCACTGAAACAGTTCCACCTGCAGTCTGTGCTAGCTGTGCTGTGCTGGAATTGGAGGCACAGCTTGTCAGACCATGCTGGTTTCGAGGCACAGATTATGGGCCTCTAACAAATACAGGCCAAATTTGTGAAAGGGAAGAGGCTAAGGCATCAAGTTTAGCCACAGAGGTGTTAATCTGAGTTTCTGGAATAATCTCCAGGGCTTTCCAAGCCTCATTTTCTTTCTGCAGCATAATACATTCATAATGCCGCTGTTTGCACCCAGGGGCTGATCTGTCATGCAGAGGTGAGGCAGTTCAGCATTAACTGGCTTCATTTCAAATAGAAGCCGATGGCTTATCTGGAAGGGTAGGACAGAAGCTGATCTACCCTCCCCCACACACCATCTGCTGCCACCAGCTACTTCTGCTGAGTTCAGAGTGGGAAGGAGCTGAGCTGCACCACTTGGCTCTAAGGCAACTTTCAAAACATCTGTGCACTGCATTAAGGAGCTTTCTGCTCCGAGGTCAGCTTCAGACAACATGCTTAGAGATTTAACAAGACATGCTTAAAACCATTCTGGGAAATGCCAGGGCTGCAATTAGGAAGGTGAAATTAAGCCAAGCCACAATGGACCAATATCAACATTTTAATACAGATTTGTCATGTTTTATTTCTGTAGCTGATTATTTCAGATGCTTGATTAAGCGACAATTACTTGAGCCAAAGGCAGGGCCTTCACCCTGAAACTGAGCAATGGATTTGGAGTCTTTGGAGCTGGTGCTGACAGGGCACTGAGTGTGTGTGGCTTGGCTGCTGCAGGCCACGACCTCCCACTGGTGAGGTGTAGCTATGTGGGCATTTTGGAGTATATTCAACCAGTGCTTTTGGAGACAAAGTTTTCAACACCACCACCAGAAACATTAACTCCAGAGTATCTATGTGCTGGTATCCCAGACAAGTGAGTTAAATAAAATAGAAAAGTGTCATTATAAAGTGGACCTTGTAACTCCAGATCTGTAACGACAGAAAAGCCCAGTTCTGCTGTAATGGAAGATTAAATATTTGACAGAAAAGTACTTCTTTTCCTGGTTTCCACAAGGTAACCCACAAGAACTCTGGTGTTGGCTGCTGTTGGTAACTGCCCTCCATACAGGGCTCTGCACAAATCCATTTCCACGAGCCCAGCCTGGCTCCTGCCCTGCCCCTGGCTGACCCACCTGTGCTGGGGGTTGGTATACTTGAGCAGCTCAGCCAGCTGCAGTGGGTACTTGCAGATCTTCTGCACGGGGGTCAGCAGGAACCCGTCCAGGGAGATGTCGATCATCTTCTGCAGCAGCCGGCAGGCCTCGAAGAAGTAAACGTACTTGTTGACCTTGGTGAGGCGGGACAGCTCCATGCAGGCGTTGGGGTGGTTGTTGCAGTACTCAGAGTAGATCTGAAACTCTGTTTGCTGCAAGGGAAACAGAGGGATTTTCTGGCCGTGTTCCTCAGGGGAATGGCCTGGCTCAGACTCCTCTGTGTGTGTTCCCTGTGTAGGTCCTACTCCTGTATCTCTGTCTGCGGATTTGCATCCTCCCCAGACTCTGAAGCCTGGAGACCTGAAGCTGGGGATGATGTTACAGGTTAGGGCATGTGCAGCTTCTCTGAGAGACCAGGACATTCCCATGTGCCCAGCTGAACGCTCTGAATGACTGGATCAGCTGCTGCTGATCCTGCACTGACCTGGAAATACCATCCTGTAAATTCAGGTCCAGCTAAAAATTCTGGAATCTTCCTACATTTTTGCCAAGGTCTGACAGGGAGTGTAGTGTTCAGAAGCTGGGGCACTTTAAAAATGCTCTTTCCACAGCCACAAGAGTTACAGGATGTTTAGGTGGGAGCAGGGGCAGTGCTTGAACAGGGTGGAGGGGGCGGGGGATGGCAATTAGTGTTGGTGGGAGGGTCTTTTTAAAGAAAGCTTCATTTGTGTCAGATCAATTTCTAAATTCTCTAGCCTTATCCATGCTCAGCTACCCCTTTCCCATGAAGTAAAATTTACTTACATATTCCAAGAAGCATGAGCCAACCTCACTCAAATGTGGGTGGTCCTTGTTAAATTTCTTCTCTAATGCTTTAACAAATTTCTTCTGGCACCTGTAGATGTCCTCAATATTCCCAAAGATTGTCTTCAGCTGTTCTTCTGTAAACATGTCAGCTCTCTTGCGGCACTGCTTAATGTAGCCCTAGGAGGAGACCAAACTGTAAACCTTCCTGGCCACTGCACTTTTGTACCATCTCAGTGAAGAACTGTGTTCCTGCAGAAGTCCCCAGTTACCTTCCCTGGGACCAGTGCATCTCTTTTAGGAGAGGTGTCACAATACTCAGCAGATTTGCAAGTGAAGGGCCCATTTGGCTGAGCATCCCCCGGTTGTTTTGATCTGAGCACGACTTCCCTGAAGGCTGGAGCTGCTGATTATATTAGCTCAGAACACATATTAGAGAGGACAGCAAGGCTTAGACATTTACTTTTCTCTGGCTTGGGAAATTCAATTAATTCCACTTAATCAGAGCACAAGTGAGTGCTCCAAATGCAGAGGCATTTGGGATATTGCTGTAATGAATTGTCTTCTGTTTTCTGAGCATGTAATGCCATCCAGCAGAGCAGGCTCTGAGGGAAATACAGTCTCATTTTCAGGAAAACTACCTGCTCAGGGTCCCTTTCTGGGCAAGAACGGGACATACTCCATTATACTTTGGGCAAGTTCTTACAGTCCCTTCCCCCTTTATTCCCTTACCTCGCAAATGTCCTTCAGGTGCTTGATGTAGTCTCTCTCTGTGCTTATGATCTCATTGATGACGTTGGTCCTCATTTGGTCTTTGGTGGTCTGGCCCATCCCGAAGCGCCGGGAGTCGTCCTCTCTGCCCCCCTCCACCTTCAGGGGATAATCTTCCATGGGCTCATCCTGGTTCACTCGCAGCTGTGCCAGACACACAAGATGGTCACAGTTTGTAGTGCTAAACACAACTCTGCCAAGGCATTTTGGGACAGTCAGACTGTTTGAATGGCAGACTAGGACTGAATCTGGATGGGGTGTGAAGAGGGCTGCTTGCTACCTGTATATTGCTCCTAGGCTGTCTTCCCCTGGGGGAAGCTATGGCCAGATAGTCTGGGGAGGGTTCTTTTCAATCCACATGGCAGCTGCTCCCACTGTGTGATATGGGTGGGTTTAAGCAGGCATCTCTTGTGGACAGGAGTCTTCCAGGAAGACTACATACAAAACCAGGACAAAATGGGTTTATCAGGTGAAATTTCTCAGGTATATGAGGGGGCACTTCGGGAGGGAGGGGGAAACCAGTAAATGGTTGGGATTTATCTAGCTTTACTGTTCTAATACTACCAATAACAGAGGGACTCTCGGTCTCTGCTTCCCCAGGACTATTTAAAGAGAGTTTGTTGTTAACATGAAAGCAGACACAGCTGCCGGCGGGCACATAATGCGGGAAGAACGGCACTACATTCCAGGGCTTTGTGGGACTCGCGGTCCCTTCGCGGTGCCCATCAGATGGCAGCACAGCACGAGCAGAGGAACACCAGCCTTGCAGCCACACCGTTCCAGAGTCTGTTTGGTAAACAACTGCAAAGGACCCGAGCTAAAGCAGCCAAGAGTTGCTGCGTTTCACTCCGGAGCTTTCTTTTCTGTAGCACTATTGTAGCTCTCCAAGTGCCCACGAGAATATTTTGACCGTGACTCAAATGATCAATCTCAGCACAGAGAAAAGTGAGATATGAAGTAGAAACACACATAACTGTAGGAATTTTTAGTACAACGACACAGAACCGCTTTAAACTTTAAATGCAGCTTTTTCTAGGCACAATTACTTACCCCTTGACACAAATACATCTGCATACAACACCAATGCTTACTCCCTCCCTTGTCAATATGGGCCCAGATTACATGTACTCACTATTTACAGCTGCTGAAGCCCTCAAGAGGAGCAATCCCGGTTTGCCTTCACTGTGAGAAGAGCAGCATCGGCAAGTCTTAAACTCAGACCTTGGCCTGAAGCTTGTGTGGAGTAACTGAGAGACCTGCAGACTGACCCAAGCCCCCAGACCAGCCGTCCCTCCCCGCGGGGAGCTTGAGACCCCGCGGTAATTAGCAGGAAATCTCTGCTCGGATGCTTGAATAAGTGTTGTAATTACTCTGCTGAAAGAATTTGTTACTCTGCATCCCTAATGGCTGGTACGGGTCCGCTTTCCCCTGGGATATCATCGCAGGTTTTGCCAGCCAGGACAATTCAGCTTGTTAGTAACACGAAAGAAAATAAGGCCCATGTTTCGACCGAAAAAAAAAATAAAAACAAACAACCAAACCAAAACAACCAAAGAAAGCAGTGCTGTCCCCACCAGTGCTGAGAGTTTGGTCCTGGCAATTGCAAAAAAATTTCACTTTTAGTAATAATTATTCAGCTGACACCCTCTCCTGCAACCTGTAACAAAGTATTTCAAAACTTTTATAGCACTATCTGCCCCACTTCTCCAAGGACACCAGATCACCTCCTGCCACCTCCTTTCACGCTTCACCTGGTTTTGGGTCATTTGTGATCTCAAGTGACCTGGATAAAGAGCTAAAGGGCTGAGAATCTCTGCCCTTAGGCACCTAATTGCCTTTGCACTACTGAGGAGCTGCCCTGAGGTGGTGAAAGCGGTCAGGCACCCACACACACAGTCACAGCCCGGAGAAAGGAAAAAAGCCTTTCTCCTCACAGCAGGAAAGGGGGCACAGCGGTTACCACACTCCTGGTTTGCCCCCCACTTGCCCTGAGAGTTCAGATGTGTTTCAGAAGCTCTGCTGGAAATGAACCCAGCCTCTGCAGGGAGCAGCTGGGACTGTCTGGGCTCTGCTGCACAGCTATTTCTGTGTGGGCTTTGTAGCTGGCACCAAGGGAGAGCCTTGGCCCAAAAGCTCCAAATGTCTCATATTGCCCTACATCAGTTGTCCCACATGACCTCCAAGACATTTGCTGTGTCTCAGTGGCTGGAATACAGTGCTGGAATACACTGGAATACAGTGGGACAGCCCAGCAGCCTGGTGGGCTAAGGGAAGGTGCATGTGTGAGTCAGGCGGTCGCATATGTGGCACTGACTGTCCCCAGCAGCAGGTGGAGAAAGCTGAATTTGGTGCCGTGCTCATCCATATTGTCCAAGTGGACACTGAAGGCCTCTGCCAGCTGCATCTGGGATTCCTTTAGGAGAGTGTTGCTTGCTCCTGGCAGGGGATGCCATGTGCTTGGGCCAAAACTAAGCAATACCCGTACCTGTAAAGCAGGAGCCCAGGCTGCCACCACCCTCCCCAGCTGGCACAGCTCAGCTTAGCTCCAGTGGGGAGCTGAACCACCCTTGCCATGATTTACTTATGCTGAGGGAGTTCACAGTGGAGGCAGCTCAGCCAGGAGGGCACAATGTAGACATGTAGAGGAATAGAATCATAGAATCAACCAGGTTGGAAAAGACCTCTGAGATCATCAAGTTCAACCCTTGATCCAACCCCGCTGTGGTTCTCAGACCATGGCACTGATGCCACATCCAGTCTCATCTTAAAAACCTCCAGGGATGGAGGTGAATCCACCCCCTCCCTGGGCAGGCCATTCCAATGGCTGATTACTCTCCCTGTAAAAAAATTTCTTCCTGATATCCAACCTAAACCTCCCCTGGCACAGTTTAAGACCAAGCCCTCCTGTCCTGCTGATGGTTCCTGAGAGAAGAGACCAACGCCCACCTGGCTACACCCTCCTGTCCCAGAATTGTAGAGAGTCATGAGGTCTCCCCTGAGCCTCCTCTTCTCTGGGCTCAACACCCCCAGCTCCCTCAGCCTCTCCTCATAGAGCTTGTGCTCCAGTCCCTTCCCCAGCCTCGTTGCTCTTTGCACCTGCTCCAGCCCCTCAATGTCCTTCCTGAACTGAGGGGCCCAGAATTGGACACAGCACTCCAGGGGTGGCCTCACCAGCACTGAGTGCAGGGCAAGAATCACTTCCCTGCTCCTGCTGGCCACACTGTTCCTGATCCAGGCCAGGATGCCATTGGCCTTCTTGGCCACCTGGGCACACTCTGGCTCATGTTCAGCTTCCTGTCAATCCAAACTCTGAAGTAACAAGACATGATGAATCAATTGTCTCTTGCAGTGAAAGTGCTCAAGGAGTCACCACAGCACATTAAACATGGAGAAAAAGAAAAAACACTTGATGCCAATGGAGAGGCACAAAGAGAGATGAAGCTCTTACCCGAACAAAGCTGGCTGGAAACCAGCCTTCGCTGTCCAGGATCCTCCCCCACCACCACTCCTTGTTGGTCGCGTCCATCACTTCAATGACATCGCCGGCCTTGAATCCCAGCTCCTGGTCGTCCATGGTGACATGGTCCCACAGGGCTTCTGCGTACACCACGCTGCCATCGCTGATGAGCTGCGGGAGAGCAAGTCACACTGTCAGTCCCTCCAGGAAAGCGGCAGCGTGTGCACAGTGGCTGCAGCTTGGGCACCACCAGCCACGTGCTGGTGTCTGTGCCCTCCCCACGAGCAGCGTGGAAAGGAGCTGGGGCTTGTCTGGTGGGTGGTTTGGCTGACCCTGCTCTCAACAGCATTTGTTCAGAATCACCTGGACACAGGAAAAAACATCACCATAAAAACCCCAAGTTTAATGCTCTGGAATTCATACTGGTGACTTTGCCTCAGCCAGCAAACAAGGCTCAGTGGTACCTTGTTTGTGAAGGATGCTCTGGTGCTGCCAGTACAGCCCTGCCTTTGAAAGCCTTGAAATCAAACCCTGAGCACCAATATTTGGAGACATACTTTGGAGCAGAAAGCATCCTGAGGCCTCAGAGCTACTCTGGGATGAATAGAGACTGAAGTCTTTATTTAAAGTGGTTAAACTTAGCAGTTAAGCTGCTTAGAATAAGTCTGCTGGAGAGTTTAGCAATTACACTGAGGAACAACAGTTATTTACTACACGCCCCACAAAGGCCCTACTCTAGGAAAAACAGAACCCCCAACATTAACAAACCCAAACTAAAACCAAGCCCCACAGGGTTAGAAGGGGGCTTCTGAGCACAGTGTTGCTGTGCCTGATGCCATTCTCGACCATTCACACCTCAGCTGTGGTGTAGCCAAGTCACAGGGGTGTATTTGTGACCTGGTCCTGCTGGCCACTGCAGCAGGAGAGCCTGCCTGATGCCACCAGTGTATCAGGTCAGCCCCCTTTGGATTTCAGCAACTACAGAGCACATGCACAGAGTTCTTGGGGCCTGAGACTGAGCACCAAGGATTTCCCTGAGAAGGCAGAGTGTACACTGGAGTCTTGGCCACAGGACTTGGCCATTATGGAGTGGCAGTGAAGCCCTGTTTTTCTCCAGGAAAATGGTGCAATGATGAATTATGGGGAGACAATGTAAGGACAGTCTATGAGGCTCAAGGGAGAAAGAGGAAAGCTGTACAAACCCCACTGTCCCTGGTATATCTCCCAGCACCAAGCAGTGTCACCACAGCACATAAAACACGAGCCATCCCCACACCTTGGGCTGCTCAGTCACCCGTAGTTATCTGGGTTACTGGTTGTGCCTCTCCACAAAGGAGAGGGAAGCATGTTGTAAAAGAACGTCAGGATAATCGCGCGCTGAGTAAATCAGAAGAGAGTTAACGAGGCATTTGAAAGAAAATTCAAATGCAGTCTGCCTTTGGATAGCAAATGGCCCTTCACTGAACCAGAAACAGCCTAATGCAGTGTTTCCATTCTGACAAAAATAGCGGGATGATGGGGAAGGAGAGGGTGAGAGGTTCCCACTTCTCTACACAGCCAGTGTGTAGCTAGAGCTAGGTGGGATGCAGTGGCATGATCTCATGTGTATCTCCATGGGGGCAGGGGATGGAGATCCATGTGGCAGCAAAGACACAAGGGTTACTGGCGTGTTAGAAACCACAGAAGTGCCTGAGAATGGTCATGTAAAAATTAGAGCTTCTCCCCACAAAAGTGTGGCAGGATCAACCCAGCTGAAGTGCATCTACACCAGTGCACAGGACGGACATCGAACAGGAGGAGCTGGATGACACTGTGTAGAGGGAAAACTAGGATACAGCTGCCATCACAGAAACATGATGGGATGACTCCCAGCTGGAGTGCTGCAGTGGATGGCCATAAATCCTTCCGAATGGACAGGCCTGGAAGGAGAGGTGATGGAGGGGCCCTGTATGTGAGGGAATGCTCTGACTGCCAAGAGCTTGATGCTGGTGACAATAGGGTTGAGTATTCCCCCCTCTCGTGAGGGACAGCAGAGGGGCAAACACTGATCTCTAGTGACCAGTGACGTGACCTGAGGGAACAACCTGGATTTGTGTCAGGGCAGGATTAGGTTGGATATTAGGAAAAGGTTCTTCCTCCAGAGGGTGGTTGGGCACTGAACAGGCTCCCCAGGGCAGTGGGCACAGCACCAAGGCTGCCAGAGCTCAGGCAGTATTTGGACAGTGCTCTCAGGCACGAGGTGTGACTCTTGGGGAGGGTTCTATGCAAGTTGGACTTGGTCCCTGTTGGTCCCTTCCAACTCAGCATATTCTGTGATTTTATGAATATATTTACCCATGATCTGGATGAAGGGACTGAGTGCAACCTCAGTAATTTAGAGGTTTTAGCTTTTTAACATAGAGGTGTGATGACGACAGTAGGGAAGAGAGTGGATGTGAAAGTGTGTATTTTCCCAAACTGGGCTATCAGAGGTCAGCCCAGAGCAGCAGCTGGGCTGTGGGTGACACTGGGTGTTGGCCACTCCCAGTAAAGAGCTGTGCTGCTGTTTGGGCAATCTGCCTGTGCACAACCCATCCCTTTGCTCTGGAGTCTGACTACAGTGACCTGTGCTTGTGCAGACCCCGAGCTGAGCCCAGCTCCTCCCTGCTGCAGGAGGGGACAGCAGTGACAGGGTCAGGGGGGACTGGAGCCACCCCTATGGAAGGGAGCTGATTAAAGGAACTGAGTGTGGGGCAGTCACCTGCACTCAGGTGAGCCCAGTCACCAGGTCAGGCTGCACCTGCACCATGCCATGCTGAGTTACACATCCCTGGATGGCTGCTGCTCAGGAAACAGGCATCAGCTAATAAACCTTTGGGAAGAGTGGCTTTCAGGAGGCTTTTCAACGTGACCACACCCTTGCAGTGTACCTGTGCCACCCTGGATCAGTGCTCTGAGTATGAGGTGGTAGCTGGCACACACGTCACAGCCCCGACCAGAGACTCAGTGGACTTCCTGCAGCATTCTGAAGATCACCCAGGCAGAGCACTGATGATGTGAAGGCATTAATACCTCACAGTACCAAGCTGTCACATCTTGGTATCTTGATGAGAAGATAAGAGACCAGGCCTGACACAGCATTAACAGCATGTAGGGCTGATACACCCAGCTCACAGGGGACAGAGCCACACGGTTCTACTCGGAGCCTCTGAAAGCCATGGGGCTGACGGGAGAATCCTCAGCTACTATTTTAATCCATCCATTAATATTATTATCTTAAATTTTCTCTATTCAGCAACAGCCATACTGTGGGTATGATTTCAAAAATACAGAAAGTCGCAAAATGCAGAATCACCAGCCTGGCCACATAGGCACAGGCCAGCAGAAAAGACACCATCAGATAGTTCTTGTGCAAAGCAGTAAATAAAATACACCTGAAATACAGGCCAGGGTCTGCTCAACTGACACCAAACACCATGTGTGTAGGGAGGAATGACCCATATGGAATAAAGCATGAAATAAAGAGCAAAAAAATTTTCCATCTGTGCTTGGGATTGTCTCATTTAATTTAGTACAGCAGCACTTGACATACCTCCATGTATTCAGGCTGAGAGGCTCTGCCTGGTCCCCTCCCTGCCCTGCTCCTGTCTGTGCCTGTCCACCAGGATGGGCAGGGCAGCCCTGGATGCTGAGCAGTGCTCAGTCACCACTGTGGGCAGGGCTCATGTTTCTGCCAGTCCCCAGTGCAGGCTGCACCTTACACTATTATTTTCCACTGTACCCAGTCCAATTCCTAGGCTGATACAGAAATACCAAACACATCCAGCCAAACAGCCCCTTTCCCAGAGCAGGTACTAATTTCCATGGCACAGGAGCACCTACAGTGCAGCAAGCAGAGCTGCCCCTGGCTGGACAGAGAGCGCTGCAGCTTCCTCTCCAGGGGCTGCTGCTACTGAGGGAAAGGGGTCAGGACTCTCCCTATCCCAGGAAGGATAAAACAACAACAGATAAAAGTTTTTCTGCAAAATGTGTCAGAGTGTGGCCCAATCAACCAGCCACACTGCAAGAGCTGCTGAGCTTCCAGAGCAGCACGTATTCCAGGGAATGCTCAGCACTGCCAAGCAGGGCAGCTCCTCGGCTCCACTCACCACAGGTTTTGATCTTTGCAATTAAAGCAAGGCTTGAAAAGCAACTATTCATTTCCATATGAAACAACATTTATGTGCTGGCTTTGTAAGATCAAGGACAACTCAGTACATGTTCTTGAAAAGCCCCAAACCAGTGTCTAGAAGAGAAACATAAGGAGACAGAGAATGCAGACCAGCCACCCCACAGCTGCTTTAGGTCCCGCAGCTGGCAGAGGGGAAAACAAACAGAAATTGGCTTTTTTTCTTTGTTTATGACAACATTTAAGTTTGTAGACAAAAGCGTTTGCAACCCAAAGGCAGCACTAGCAGCGATGCTCTCAAAACCGATGCCAGCTCTGCTGTTGCCCTGGAATTCTGTGCACTCTCAGCCGCTTTCCCCACTGCCTGTGCAGCCCCAGCCTCCCACTCCCTCCCAGAGCAGGCACGTGCTGAGGGCAGGTGCTGGTGAAGGTGCTGGGCCCGGTCCCTCCACGTGCCACAGACAGATGGAGGGGGAGGACTGAATTCTCTCTCCTCCAAGCAGTGTCTGCAGAGAGGCTGCCAAGGAGCAGACACAGCCAGGGCTGTTGCAGGGAGCTGCCCCAAATTAAGTCCATTACATGTGGGCAAACAGACCTGGCATGTCAAGGCCCACATCTGTGGGCTTGTTTGCATTCCAGCTACTCAGCCCCTGTCTGTCTCAGGCTGGACACCTTGACATAATTACCTTGTATGTCCCGGTCTTGTTCTGACAGGAGCTCCAGGCAGTATTAACAGAGATAAAAGATCACAACAGCTTACAGAAGGAGGGATGAAGATGCCTTTAGGAAATATTTATCTTTGAGCTACTCGTTTCTATTTGAATAAAATTTGAATAGCTTTCTCTTGACAATGCCAAGTACACTGGATCATACAGAGCTACAAAATAAACCCAGGAGCATCAAAAGAACTGGGAGAAGGGAAGTTCAGGAATTTCAATAAAATGGAATTTATTTTTCAGCTCTGTGACCCTAAAACAGACATTCCCTGATGAGCACCTGAACCCAAGCCCTTCCTGGTGAGCTG